ATGAGATGTGTCATTTTCTTAATGAGGAGTATGGTATCGATGTATCAAAGCAAACGGTCTCTCGAGTGCTCATTGCTAATGATATAACGCGAAAAGCAGTCAGTATAGCCATCCCTAAGTATTCAGCTTCAAACGCGGGGGCGGGAGGGGGGGGGCGGGGGGGGGGCGCGATTAAGATCTGCGAGCCTTCTACCGAGCTCGAATAGCTGAAATGCGTGCAGAAGAGGCTATCTTCGTTGATGAAACGGCTGCAAATGAGCGTACAAAAGACCGTCGAAGAGGCTGGTCAAAACGTGGCGTACCGTGTAGAGTTACTATACCACATAGGTACTCAAGGAGATGGAGTATTTGCCCTGCGATAGGTATTAATGGCTATCTCGACTATGAGATATACCACGGCAGCTTCAATAGCGAGAGATTCAACAACTTTATTCGAAGATTACTTACGAAAATGAATCCGTATCCTGGGCCACGGTCAGTACTAATTATGGATAACTGCCGCGCCCATCAGAGCCAGGTAGGGCTCAAAATAGCTCTATTTAATGTTGATATTGATAATAGTGTTTAGGAGCTTCGAGATATATGCGCAGAAAGAGGCGTTCTACTAATATTTCTCCCTCCATACTCTCCTGACTACAATCCCATTGAATTATCATTCTCACCGCTGAAAGCATGGATAAAGGCGCATCGAGAGCTTGCAGATGGGTTTGATGAGTGGTTTGAGGGCTTCTTTCATCTTGCTGTTCAACAGTGTGGTGTTGAGAGGCACGCAAAAGCATATTTTCGACATTGCTTTTTTGAGGTTAACGAAACTACTATTGATGTACCCTACGATACTATTGAGGAGGTATCAGACTAGCTCGGAGGGAGTACTCGAAACAAGCTTTCGAATGATACTATTGCCGTCGCTGTACAATTTGTTGTTATATAGTAATCGTTGAAAAGCAAAATTAAGTCATCTTCTGAGTTATAATATAGAGCCGTGTTGTATAGCCGAAAAGGGGTTCTTGGCAGGTCTTGGCGTAAATTTCTAAATTAAGCGAAATTTTTGAATTAATTTTCGTGAGCTTTAGTATAAGCTAGTAATTTATTTACACTTTAGTAATTAATTTTGTGTGAGAGTCCACCCAAATAGATGACAATACCTGAAATCTTAATACATAGCTCAACGTCTATCTTTACTTTGGTTATCAACTAAAGGCTATCTAAGCGAATTCAGTCGCTGTTATTGATCTCAAAGGACTGCGAATGCTCAAATTCATCATAAAGAGCGCTGTCAGCCTCCTTAACGCTCTCCGGATGACGTTGATGCCATATCTTATCGTGCCGTAGCAAATCCACGCGAATACCGTGGCCAATACCTATCTCCTTCCAATCTTCTCTTGTTAGAGAGGCCATATCCGAGAGCCCTACGCCATGTTCAGCTAACTTCTTGAATGCTCGTTCGAATTCAGCTCGTTGAGCCGGTCTATCCTTGATTCGCGAGCAAATAAACGCAGTAAGGCGAGCATCTTCATCTCTAGCCTGTGGAATCGGGCTGCTTGGCGTCACAAGAGGCTGTAAAGGCGTTATAGCCCTTGACGGCGTCGCTGAACCTCTATATCGACCCTCATCATTAGTAGACTCGCGAGGCAGTATATCTTGCTGTTGAGCGCCACCAGAAAGATTGAGGTTGAGCGTCAAACCCCCAGCTGACGCCAAACTTGCTGTTGACGCTGCCTGTGGAGTTGACGGAGGCTGTAGCTTTCTGGTGAGCTCTTTCTCCTTCTCTCTACTCATTCGTTGAGCTAGAGATATAGGAGGATGCGCTATACTAACCCCAGGGTCATCCTTGATGGCTTGATTCCATGCTCGAAGATGCTCTCCGTTAAGTCGAATATGACCATATAACGGCAGATTATAATTGCAACACTTTTGGGACGCACAATACTAACCAATCAAATGAGATTAACATAGCTGACCCAGAGCTGCAACGAGACCATAAGTGCAACGCTTCAATCCCAGTCAGAGTGACTCAAATCTTGAATTGCCTGCATCCACCTCAACTCTTTCCAACATTGAAAGCTTCTCCTGGTCAGATGACCGTAAGCCTGTTTCTTGATTCTTTCTTGGACCGAAGAATATATGGACCAGGAGGAAAGAAGGAAGATAGAAACCTCTGTCCTTCCAGGGAAGGTGCTGTACCCCTGCATTGAAGTGTCAACGCTCGTTGAATTGGGCTACGTTCATCAGGGTCTTTGGCCTATTCATCTGAAGCATCACATTCAACTGAGTGCTAAAGTACTAATTCGTTAATGACTACTGCTGAATCTTCTTGTGCGGTCGAACAAGCGTTACTAATTCAAGAAATTAAACGCTTTGCATCTGCACCATGACTTACAGCCTCAATATTGTGGTGCTCTGATGGGATTCCTTGGCCCACCATCAAGTCTTACACTCAAATGTTCGCACCGTTTTAGACTGAAACATCGTCCTCCACACTATTTTCTCGCAGCTAAACCGTCGTCTGATGGTTGTCGCATCTGGGACAGCGGGACAGCATAACATCAGACGCCAATTGTTCGATTTCTGAGTCCCACCTTACGCCGGAGGATATCATAAAAATGCCATGTCTCAACTAAGCCGCTCCGATGTGCTATTCGAGAAATCCATTCCTGCTCTGCTTACAGTCATGTCTTCTCAATGTTGGACTGACAAAGAGACCGTTGAGTTAGCTTCTGCCACTCTATCACAACGCATACCTCGACCCCAGAGCGCATTGCCCTATGAAAGAGCCTTCCCAACGTTCCAGCGTATCAAGTATCTCTGCCATGACCTCATGCACAGGAGCGCGTCCGAAGCCTACTGCACGATCGCTAGGATCACAGAGTACTCCTTATAGAGATTCCACGGCGCGCACAAGGAAAGCCGAACGACCATCTGTAGGCCATGCGACCGGCTCTTTGACTCGTTTGCCGCTTTTGGGGACCAATAACACCAACCAGATTGGTCTAACCACGTCGAACGCATCGCAGCCGTCAGCTTGGGACGGAAGAAGCTCAATACCTAGACGAAGACTCCAACAATGTTCTCCTTCGTCTTCCACCGTCCAAGCCAATCTTAGCGAGAGTGGGCCAGCCTGCCCTTGGCCGCGTAGATCAGCAGCTGTGCAGAAAATCCAGCCAAAGAATGGTCAGCAACATCTAAGCCTAGAAGACGAGACGCGAAAGCTGTTGGAATGGGCAAGCACCTTCCCACGCGAGTCAGCAATGATTGAAGGGAGCCCGGAGGACTTGCCAGATTCACGGACAGGAGAATATCCAGTGAGTTTGGGAAACGGAGAGCAACAACAACGGCTGGCAGAGAGATTTTACTGGCCTTCGGCTGACCGGCCTTTAGTCATGGACGAGGTCGTGCCCTGGACAAGATCTGAGGCCCCTATCATCCAGATCGGTATGGAAACGGAGTTTAAAATCAACATCCGTGACCAAAACAAGTTCCAGCCCTACATTGGAGACTTTGCAAAGGACCTCGCATATAAGTATAACCGAAGGGTGCCCAACAAGTATCCTCGAATGCATCCGTACATACAACCTTATCTGGAACAGACTAAATACGATAGCTGGTACCTGGTTGAGGATTCTTCCATTCTAGATAGTCAAGTTTCACCCTGTAAGTCAGTCCACCCAAAGACCTTGCAGCAATCGCGAAAACCCGTCACTGATACAATGATCTTGAGGTTTTTTTAGTCGGAATCGAGTTAGTCTCACCAATGTTCTCGGCTTTTCCTGGCTCAACGTGGCGAGAAGGTGTTGAGGCAATGTGGACTTATCTGCACAAATATTACCTTATTCACGGCAACGCTTGCTGTGCAACGCACGTACACATATCGCTGAAGCCTATTTATTCATTGCAAGAAATTAAACGAATTGCCCAAGCTGCCATTCATTTTGAGCCAGCGTTCGAGGTCTTAGTGCCCCCTGAACGCCGCTGGAATTGGTATGCCAGGAGTAATTGGATAGACAATTGCGGTCTAGCATTGCGTGACAAATCACGACCTGAATCTATTCAATTGGTTGAAGAAACATCGAGTATGAGCGGATTAATGCTACTACTACACCCCTTTTACGAACGAAACTATTGTTGGAATTTCGCCAGCCTTGTGACCAAGGGAACGATTGAATTCCGCAAACCTCCAGTCAGCACGTCTGCAGATGAGGCTCTCTGCTGGGCCGAACTCGTCATGTCTTTCATTCAAACATCCATCCAGTGCGAATCGATGGAGAAGCTGCAGATGGTCCCTCCTAACGTCGGTGGCCTTCGTTGGTTTGTGTCGCAGTTCAATGTACCCGGAAAAAATGAGCCAGCGCGCTTAGAAAGGCTATGGCAAGGCAAGCACCCCAAAGCGATGTTGCAACCCGTACCTGCGGGACAGATCTATCCAGGAGTACCGCTCACACCTCGAGAAAAATGGCATCTAGCGCGTTTGGCACGAGCAGACCGACAAAGGATTGAGAGGCTGGCAAAGAACGCTCGAGAGCCGTACTGGTGAAGAGGATTTACAGGAGGAGTACGGAGCAATATGGATTCACTTCCGATGGGTTCATTTTCCGATTGGTCGCCATGGGAGAGCGTGTGGCAGATTGCATGTGGCAAGGAGTAATTGTATCTGACTTTGTAGTAATACCTATACACGTTTGGGATCAACGACAGGGTGAGCGCCAATGCCCTACGTTGCACCTACTACTAACTAGTAAGTACTGTACAGAGTACTCCGTACTTACTACTAAGTTAGTAGTACCAGCACCAAAGTACTCCGTCCTACTATAGTAGTACCTGTCAAGCTCTGCCTTCTGCCCTTGCCACTCGGTGAGATCATTTCTTATCAGAGACATGCCATTAGAGACCGACTCCGCTTCTGTTGAATGGTCGAATAGATCCCGAGTATATCGCGGTGTTTCAGGGATACACATTCGAAGGATGAGGGCAAGGAAGGCAGGGATAGGCCCCCCAAACCCACGACAAGACGCCAGGTAACATCGAGAGCGACACGGCAGTCTCCGGGATAACGGAATGGTTCGAGAACGCTCTTCTCCTTCCGGATCAAGCCAGGGAGCGACCAACGTGAAGAAGGGCGCTTAGCAGAGGGAGACCCTCCAAAAATAATGCCTAAATTACCATCAATGTGTGCTTAGTTTAGGTCTAACTGTTAGGTTAACTCAGCTTCTAAAATCTGATTGAAATCATGTTATTTGGACGTCATGTTATCAAAACTAGGGTTAAATGACGCTTGAATGACGGTCAACTTATGGTCGTTAGAGTCCTCCAATGATCATTATCATGAGAGGATACCAAGATGGCTCGACAGAGAGCCCGTCAAGAAAAGGCGATCAGGGTTGATTACCACTAATCAAGATCAGTCGAATCAGTAGTTAAGCCAAATAATCAACGAAACTCCTAAGTCTATATAAACGAATGCTTTCCCATAACTTTGACAGCTCTCTCTCTCTTGCGCGCGCTCGAGATCGCCCCCAATTAAGTCCAAGATGCCACTAATGCGACCGGTCGTTTGGATCAAGCACCGCTTTCACTTGAAGCTGCATACCTGACTGTGGGATTCCTGCATTTGATTCTTCCCACGCCGGCTCTGATTATGCTCTTGCATGCTCACGATCCTCAGGTAGTTGATCATGGTGAGATCCTCATTCGGCACAGAGCTGTTTTCATTCCGTTTCCCAATAGCAATATAATTTCCAAGAAGGATTGCAAGGTCATCAACCCTGGCTTCGTCATCCCGATAACCTTCCGGAACCGGCCGGAGAGGCGTCACATATGTCTTGGGAGACTGCTGGTGCTGGTCGAAGGAAAGCTCGATAACCTCGCCCGTCAGCCATTTGACGCTATGAATGGTTAAATATTTGGCCTTGACGCGTAAGTATCCGGTTTGTTCCGTACAGCGCGCCTCGTACCCGTTCCAAACATTTTCACCACCCATTTCTACGCCGGCGGGATATAGGCACTTCACTATCGGTTCATTGGAGAGTTCTTTATCGATACCGATCATCTCTCGGCTCTTTTCAGCAAGCTCTATCTCAGCTCTCACTTGATCAAACCTATTCTTAAATTGTCGTTTCTCGGCATTGTTGAAGCCGAATTCGATTATGCTTCCACGCTGCTCAATACGATCGATGAAGGCGCGCAATTGCCGAGTGTCCCTGGCCAAGTTCTGAATGGCATCTATCCGGCTAAGCTTGCGCCCCTCCAACTTGTATGTGACGGCCAAGGTACTCTTGTTCAAGAATGCGAGTACTTCTACCAGCCTTCCAGTGGCTCTGAATTCGTTCAGGAATGGCTGAGGCTCCGATTTTTTCGGGAGGATTTTGTTGATCATAGCATTTCTTCGTTTCGTCGGATTCGCTAACCAGTAGTTCACCAAGTGAACGATCTCGTTGGTCTGTTTGATTGCCTTGTAGATTTCGTCATTGAGTGGCTTCTCTTGAATCAATAAGTCATAGCACTGTTTTTCCCCTTTCGTTGCTTGCACAACGTATTTCCCTGGTGTCATGTTCACGATGCCATCGAGGTCTCTAGGGCTAATGATATATTTACTGTCATCTGTCATAACAACAGTCAATTCAGTGCATTTCGATCCAGGGTGTACTTCGACAGGAGGGATGTCATTGATCGTTCTTAGACGTCCTGCATATTGTAAGTGATTAAATATTGTTGTTGATTTGAAGCCATCCTCCGGCCACTTGACAATCCATGAGAGGGACCTCCGGCCGAGGTCATCAACCGTCCCGGGAAGAAGATAGCCGTCCTCGAGGATATTCTTGACAAATATATTCCAGAAATCGCTGTGTTTTTCATCTGTGTTAGCGCTGTCAGCCGGTAGTGGATATCCATCGATTGCAGGCACCAATGAATTCAAAAACACCCGCGGATTGATTGACAACAGGGGAATGACCTTCAAAATCAACAACTCGATGTCCCGTCGATCGGCTTTGATCTTGTATGTCGCCTCCAAGAAGTCCTTCATTTCTGCTAGATCCTCATTGTTTAGCAATGACAAGAGCAAGACAAGCATTTGCAGGAATCGGGGTCTGATGTATTTCTGTGTGGAATCGTCACTACCGGTGGGGTCCAGAGAATTGTAGTATGACGCGCTAAGAGAGATGATCTCTTTGATACCCTTGCTGGTGGTAAGGGTTTTGAACATTGGTCCGAGGTTAATTCCATACCGCGTATTCTCGGAATTGATGATGCTGACGCGGGTAGCCATCCTAAAGAGGATCGGACTCCTGATGCATAGCCGACGGGCGTCCTCAATCATCGTTTCAAGAAGAGTCCTGGTCTCCTCAAATGTCATCTCAGGGCCGCCTCCTGCTATTAAATTCCGATAGTTTACCATCAAGTCCCATAGAGAACTCCAATCTACTTCGACTAGTAGTCCCCTCAGGTCCCAGTTCCCGAGTCGAAGATCATTGACAATAGTCACGCGCTCGCTGTCGATAGTCAATGTATCAGCAGGCCGCTTGCGCGAAGCAAGGGCCCTCCGCTGACCTGGGAATATTCGTTCAGGCTCACGCGCTTGGTTCTTGGCTCTTGCTACAATGCTTGCGGTCTGATCAGTCTGCACGATCTGTAGATCTGGAGATACATTGAATTGGGTGAGAAGTGAACCTGCGGTATCTACCCGCCACAGCGCATCCTTTTGGTCGGGTATTTTCCCTTCCATATCAATTTGTTCGCTGCGGTTGACCTGGGCTTTATCGGCGCCTCGTAGAAATTTCAATCCCACTGATAGTACGGGCGCCGAGCTTATGACCCTTTCAATTGCCAAGCCATTTACGTACGTTCGCTGCAATCGTGGGTCGGCTTGTTTCTCAAGCTGCTGTATCATAAAGTCTGTTTGCTCTGGCGTAAGTGTTTTGTTCGTGTAGTCGACATAAGCATCGCTCTTCGCTTTCAGTGCTTCGACATGGCGGTGAGTTCGATTTCTGCTCAGGACAACCTCCTCACCGCCGCGATGACTTGTATTGACATGTTCGTTGCCGTTGATGATGGAATGGAGCTCCGCATGCTGCTTCTCTTCATCAGGGAGTATGCGACCTGGATCACCAAACGGGTTTGGGGCTGGGGAAATGCTGGAAGGTCCCGGTCGCAAAGGCCTCGGTATTGGTGAATTGGAAGGCTGAAAGCCATCAGCTTGGGCTCCCCTTTTGGCAGAGGGGTTTAGCCGTGCTTGAGTACGAACCATAGCCGCAGTTTCACGCAGATTCATTCACAATTTATTGATGTGGGTGATTATGGAGGATGGCACGATTCCGTCAACGTCCAACTCTAAAGGCTGAGGGGGATAGGAGTTAGGCAAGGTAGGACTCATTAGCCCATATATGGTAAAGCGGTTTGGGTGCCATCGTCATGTAGCCTCAGCTGTTAGAGGCTTATTCTTGACAGAGCAGTCTTGGGGGCTTTTTTCCATCAGCCTATCGCTTGAGCTCACTAGGACATACATGGCCAATTTTCTCTCTTCTGGCCCAATTTTTTGCAGCAGGTCAGCCCAACGTGGGCACAGCCACTGAGTGAGGCGTTCTCAAGCTTGCAGATTTGGCCAAACGGCCTTCGCGCCCATGATATGGACATGTGGCTGACATGGATCTTGGACTAGAATTTAAAATGAAGATGTTGCTGTGAGCAACGACCACCTACATCCTTAGGCTTGTTGCTGTCATAAGGTGCGGCCCATGCCAATTGCCCTGTCCACTGCCCTACTTTTGAAACAGGAAAGACACAGTGGTGGGCTGTTATGAGATGGAGGTTTTGTTCGTTGCAGAATATGGAGTACTCGCATTCCAACGGCTTTTTGTCGGCGCTTCGGCCCGACTCCCCGTGGTGCCAAGCCCCGTCTGGCGTTGTTCTTCACGTTGGTGGTACGTATGGTACGTACTAACTAAGTAGTACTACTACTACGTAGACTGCGTTCTGATTAGGCGAAGTGAAACATTTCCAGGCTGTGTTGGCCGCAGCCTGGAGGGCAAAGCAAGCTAGTCCCTACCGAAACATTCTCTATTATTGTGATGTGTACGGAGTACTCCGTATATCGAACAGACCTCTGCAAATATCAATGCCACGCAATACAGCCGTACAGGTGACCCTCGGAGGACCGAATAATAGCCGACGTAGTATGTACAGCCCCGCGCGAAAGTATCCGGCCAAAACGCGTCATTTTTGAACACGCGTTTTTTTACACCCTTTTTCAAACAACTACCATGGCTCAACGCAAGGCTTTGGCGCCTCTTGAAATCAATAGAAGCTATGGCAAAGAGCTATCTCCATACCAACGAGGTCAAATTTCGGCGTACAAAGCCCTAGGGCTCACAAGTCGAGAGATTGGTCAAAATCTGCATTGCGGCAAATCCACTGTTTCTGATACCATTGTTCAAAATCCACTACGCAACAACGGCAAAAGCTTGCCTCGTTCAGGACGTCCTCAGGCCTTAAATAGGGTCCAAAAACGCAACATTTTACGCATTATTCGTATCAATCCGAAGATTACTTATCAAGCACTTCAGTCCGAAGTTGGTACTAGTGTTCATCGAAGGACTATTTATCAAATACTCAAAAACGAAGGCATT